TATATATATATATATATATATATATATATATGTAAGTTATATAACAATATATTAATTATTAATTTCCAAAATTATTATTTTAAATAAACTATTTTTTAAAAAATGAAAGCAATTTTATAAATTTATTTTATTTTAATAGTAAATTCATATATTTTATTAATATTTTTTATAAATTTATTTTATTTAAAATTTCATTAAATTCAATAAATCAATTAATTAATATTATTTCTTTTATAATTTGAATATCAATTATTATTTTTGTAACTAAACCATGACTGATTTTTATATATTTATATAATTTTAATTATTAGAATTAGAGGAGTAATGATTCTATTTTCATATTTTATTTCTTCAATTATTATATCAAAAATAGATAAATTAAAATTTAAGTATATCTATTTATTAATTTATTCAATTATATTTTTATCTAAATTATTATCATTAAATTAGCGATCAGAATATCTAAACCCAACCCCTGTGGTTCCTAAGCTTTTTTTTTTTCTGGAAGCTAAAATCTCTAAAATCCATTAACTTGGTCTTAAAGAGAAGCAGCTTTCAAAGAAGAAATGCAATGATTCTGATATTGTCCGGTCACGGATTGGGAACTCGGTTTAGAAGAGAAAACGTTAGTCAGACCTACCGGGACAAGTAGTTTCGGCCGTACAAATAGACGAGGCGTTTGATTTTGGACAGAGGACGAGGTTCTCTTCGGAGAAGAGATTGTACGTTCTCTCGTACAAGGTGGAACGACACCTGTCGTCGCCGGAATGATCGAGGCGAGAGTCGACGACGAGAGCAGTTTTGCAGTCGGTTTGGAAGTTTCCGTTGTTGGCGGATCGGTCGGGCAAGTTGTCATCGGCCGGGGCGATAAGGATGGGTTTGCGAATCAGGGACAAACCGGTGACAATCGAATTCGAGAGTTTGACGTCCTTCGGGGAGATGGCGATGCCCGGGGCGGACGAGTCGCAGAGCAGGGCGGTGTGCTTTTGCAACAAGGCCACTTTGTTGCGGCCCCTTTGCTTGATCAGAAACGCTGTACACGTTAGGAAAAGGACAAACACTGTCAGCAGACCGCTGACTAGGCCGATGTATGTTTGCGAGGTACCAACGGGAAAGGCATCCGGCGTTAAGGCGTCTTCGTCGATCTCATAGCGATCCGTTATGTTTGTTCCTTTCGCGGAATTGATCGTCAAGTCGACGGAGTTGCTCGATCTCGTTCGTGATTCGCTCCGATTCTGCTCTACCTCGGACGACCGATCGTCAGCTAAGACGTTCAAATCGTCCAACTTGCTTCTGCTCCCTACGATCAATACGATATATCACATTATTACATTACCGCGCATATTATACTGTAGGTAATATCGTACAGTGTAGTATGAAAGGAGAGACGTTTAGCACTCCTCTAGACAAGGATGGAACACACAGAAATTGGTAAAGCACTTGTCCTCTTTTGGGCGGCACTTTTTTGGAGGTGGGGATAGCTCAGTCGGTATAGAGCATCAGACTCTTAATCTGAGGGTCCAGGGTTCGAGCCCCTGTTCGGGCGAATAAAAAAGACCATTGTCCTTTAGAACCAACAGTCACGGGAGAGCTCTGTGTGTATAAAAAGGTCCCACACAGCTCCCACACAGGGTGCGGAGGACGGCCATTAGTCGGTAAAAATCCGACACTATCTGGGTCTTCCTTTAAAAGACTCAGGTGTCTTATGACGATACCTAAAGACAATTTACGCTCTCTTTCTTTTTTTTCACTTTTTCTTACTCTCTTACTCTCTTTTATTCTTTCGTTCTTTAATTCTTTCAAACCCTTTCACTGTGACAGATTTGCGCCATTTGCATTCTTTCAAATCACGTTGTGCATTATGCATATGTTTATGAATAAAATGCCGAAAATGCCTTTGCATCAAGTGAAAAAGCTGTCGTTGTCAAATTTTCATACGTTTACGTTCTCAGTTGTATTTTTGTAAAATTTACTTCATCAATGATGTAAATATAAATGCGTATAAATTTCAAAAGCGTTTTTACGCGGCAACGGGAAAGTTCACAAAAAAGGGCTAATTAATTGATCTCTATATTCTGAATAGATTCTACCCTTACCAGTGTAGAAGGTGATCTCGCTAAGGAGCAACCATTTCGCGGCAAGGCTGAACTCCACCTTGACGAATTGCCCGATTTTCGATTCCAAGGGGATCGAGATGAATACCGTCTCGGCAGCGGCAGAGCTGACGTCGATCGGCCATTCCGATTTTTCCACCTCCGGCCGATAGTTCTCACCGTCGATGGAAAACCAAACGCGCATCGTTGAAAATGCCTGAAAAGGTAAAAAGTTGATTCGAACGACGTTGATGTGACGATTTCAAAAGAAAGAGGAAAGAAAAAGGAGAGAAAAGCGAACACACCTCGACGTGTAGTTGCGGTATACGTGCGACATGTACGGTGCAATTCTGGAATTCTCGTAGTTCTTGGAAGCGAAAAATAATCTGGATGGTAGTACGATCCGACCAGCCTACCCAATTCGTGTCGTTGACCGAGGAGGAGGTGAGAATTTCCGAAATCTCGCCCAATATCCCGTCCGTCAGTTGACCGAGACCATTTACGAGGAGAGATTCCGAAGAGATCCCTAGCTCCGTACCGTCGTACGAGCAATCTCGAACGTTTCGTCCCCCGGGACCGAGGCTCGATCCCTTGGGCGCGCTGTAACTCGCGACATATTCTACGAAAAAATGATCCACGTTGGTACATATACCAAATGAATAGAAAAAAGGGTTCGTAACTTTTTTGTAGAGTAGATAGTACTCGCCAAAAAACACTTTCTAATAAACATGGGTCGAGAAATTAATAGTTCCAAAGTTACAAACGATTTTTTCGAGAGCTATTATTACCTTATAATTTCTACTTTTTCTGATTACAGGAGGTTTTCTATGTATCCTCCATTTCTACGTACACCTTGGTATTCCTATATAATCCCGAGCCGATTTCAACCACGTTTATCATAACTTTTTTTTCTGCTTCGGTGAGTACCATTTACCCTAGAAACTCTTTATGAACCCTTTTTCCTATTTACGATATGGCACGATATACGAGAAAATGGACGAGAAAAAGCATAAAGACTAATGATAAAATAGGTACCTATACGATAAAACGTACCTACCTACGATAAAGACTAATGGTAAAATAGGTACCTGTACGATAGAACGTACTTACCTACGATAAAGACTAATGATAAAATAGGTACCTATACGATAGAACGTAGCCATCTACGATAAAGTATACGCATGTATATACGGCATATAGATGTTATATATAATTGCTCACGTTCCCACACGCATCCGTAAATTTCGACTCGCATGCAAACCGTCCGGGGATGTTGGCTGTAGGGTACAAATCGCACTTTGCTCGCGACAAACGGCAAGTCCAACTTCTGCTTCTCCACCAAGTAGGTATTACTGTTGCCTCGTAATACCTAAAAACAACGTACATATCTAACACGTATGTGTCGATAGCGTTGAAGCATAGTCACCGAAGCCATGTCTCGCCTTGTTCTTGAGAATCAGAGCGTAAGGACTGTGTTTTTCTTTGGGAATAACCGTATAACTTTATCGTATCTTTCGAATTCCCTTCTCGCGACGATACATACAGGTAGTATGTATGTGAATTACAACGTCACGCGGTGCTTTTTATACGCGTAGAAAATTGGCGAGACTTAACTTAAACAATCGACCTTAGCAACGGTGGATTATTCAGTACACAGTGAGTAATGTTAATCCAGGAATGTTTAACAAACGTTGTACGAAGTAATACGAAGAAAAAGAAAATCTATATTTTTGGATGTGAAAATAAAAATTTACGCGATTTTCGATTCGCGTAAAAGAAGTTCACGTGTACTCGTGTGCTTTCGATATAGGATACGATGCTGAAATTCGAAACAATGCGGACGACTTTATCAACCGCATACGACACGAACTCTGTCACCCATCAAATTTTTATACTGATGCCACTTTGTGTCGCGCCAGTACTCGAGAAAGAAAGCCTCCGCGTACTCCTGACCCTGGCCGTTCCCAAACCGTCCTTGAGTCTCGGTCCATGCTATTAGATGATTTCTGGTCAGATCGATCTCCAGATATTCCCGTATCGCGCTGCTGATTTGCGCTTTTGGACACCAAGCGCCACCATTCTTCTCTTGACGTATCCTGCGTAAACGCGTTAATTATTATCATTGCATTTTCTTGACCAACAAAGATTAATTAGCTATGCTATACGATCCAGTGCGCTATATTATACCACACATTCGTACCATTTTATATTTAGTTTTAAACTCTACCTTCGAATAATTTTCATCTTGTTAATCGTTTAATCGCAGAAATGACGTAAGTTAAGTTTTCTACCTAATCTATTTTCGAAAACTTCACTTTCATTCTGTATTGTGCATAACCAGTATAACTTTATGATGGCTAATGTGAAACAGACGATCTTCAATATCATTTTACCAAGAACTTTTGCTTTATCCCTTCCTGATTGTTATCTTTTGACCTACATCATCGTTGGATCAAACGATGCTGGTCGGAAATGGTTGACAAAGCTAAGGTAAACACTAAGGTAACACAGAAATGATAAGTGATAATGAGAAAATCGTGTGACAGGAAGATACGTCGAACCGTAGATAGGCGAGTCAATTTCATTGTCACTGCATCATCATCATCGAGACTCACGCACCTTGCGTTTTGAGGGCCCACCGATTTCGTCTCGTAGCTGGAAGAAGCAGTGATCGCATCATCTGGAATTTTTCCTTCTTCCATACCAAGCGGGAAGATGCA